TAACATGGTGCACAGCCCATTATCCAGCAATTGATGCACAGTACTGGATGCTCCACAGAACGTCCTTGATCAAGAACACAATATCTCTCTTCATGGCCCTGCTAGAATCTCATACCATGGCCTGTCGTCTCTAAAAAGTGCCAATACTGCATACGAACTATCGCCAGAGCCTTAATGGTCATGTTACACATATGTGAGTGTGTGTGAGTAATGAGTGCTGATGGGCTTAGCAGAGTGGCAAAAGATCCATAGCTTTATGCTCTCACAGCGGTCACAGACGAGGTAATGACTCTCACACACAGCACAGCCTCCCCTTCATCTTAATCTTTTCCATGCTCGACAAACCATCCTCTCGCTGGGTGGGCCCAAGCCTAAAGGCGGCACATTACGGCGCTAAACTCCTTCAACTGAAACTAACTACCCGTCCAGGCCAGGGTCTAACTCCGATCTAAATCACTGTGGCAGTTCCTAACGGCTTTAAAATGAGCTTGTGATGAGCCCTCAAACCGGTTCAGCAGCATGGTTGGACAAGACCACACTTTTAATTACTGTGTCTGTCTCCATTGTAACCTCATTGTGTGGTCTTACCTCTGTAGTCACAACCGCAAACTAAGCTGAAATTGCGTTCCTCACAGGACATGTGGGTTTGCTGGACAGAAGATGGTGGAATATGTGACCCCAGCACGACTACTTTAGCTAAGGAGAATCAGTATGGCGATGACGCAGAACTGAAAGGAATTTGTTAAGAAGCTTTCATTCTAGAGATGGACTATATGGGAGATGTGAAGGTGCCATTTTCTATTGGTTTGCCCACCCTGGGGGTTTATTAGACCGTAGATGAAACTGAAAATCATAGTTGAAGTGGTGACTCACAATAACTGTAAAAAAAAAAAAAAGACAGCTTCTGAATTTAGCTTTTCCATTTCTCAAAAATAATACTGGGGTTATTTACATGGCCGGAAACTGTCTGGATTAATATAATGGTAGATATTTTGTGGACGCACTTGCTGCATTCAAAGACAAAAACATTTAAAATACTGACAAAACAAAGAGCGCTACCAACATGTATCATTGCAATACCACTGGACCGTCATTCTTTGAAGTACCATGTACATACCATAGTATTTGAATATGGTAAACCTTCAGTAATGTGGATCGCGGTATTACCATCTAACACTCTACCCGATCAAGTTAGTTTACAGTATTGTAATGTAAAAGTGACACAATCAAATAAAAAAAAAAATTTGGTGCTTTGTGCTATTACAAATCCTGAGTTTTGAAATGCATATGCTGTATATAAATCCTGCATATTCCCAATAGGATTATTCTCTATCTCACAATCATGCTCTCCATTCAACTTCAAGATGCACTCATCGATGTTTGGGTTATACTTTGCTGGTTCTTATTCATCCCAGTGGTCTTGAACTTTATACAGACAAATCAACATTGACAAGCTTTTCTGTTTCTCATCAGAGCTGCCTGGTTGACTTTTGTTGTATTCCTTTACATTCATCTACACTACTGTTCAAAAGTTCAGGTTCGGGAGATTTTTTTATGTTTTTAAAAGTCGTCACTTTTGCTCACCAAGGCTGCATTTATTTAAAGGCAGGGTATGTGATTTTTCAAAAACACTTTAGAAAACTGATTCGGGCCGAATAGCAAAACAAACTTGTAGCCAATCAGCAATAAGGGGCGTGTCTACTCGTGATGTGGAGGAGAGAGCTTCAGTGCATGGGACGGACATTATTAGCCGAGCCGAGCGACAGGAAGATATAGATGGCGGATAAAAAACAAAAGAGGAAAACGTCTGCGGAACGATAAGGCAAGAAGTAGGACCCGTGTAAAATATTGGATCAGCTTTCCAGTGCTGGAGAGAACTCAAGGAGCGGAGGCCTGCGATCGGACGCCGAGGTTGCTTTGTTTCTTCTCAATAGGTGAGTAACACCGTGTCTACAACAACTAAAGTCTGCCTACACTGGACGCGAGAAAGAGGTCAAACGACCGTTGAAAACCATTTGAAATCGGTGTCAGCACGTCATAAATAGAACCCGGCAGCAGTTTTCTGTCGGGGATTTGTTGCGCCGCGCCGCTCACGTCCGTAGACAAGGTGTAACATTGGTTTTGCTTTGTTTCACAGAACTAATCGTTGCCTGGGTTGCGTACGTATATGTGGGGCGGAGCTATCAAAATAGGGGCAAGACCCTTTTGGGGTAGGGGCGTGTTTGTTTTGGTGATTTCAAATATCAACATTGGCTACCAGAAATCGCTTACTCTGCCTTTAATAAAAAATGCAGTAAAATCGGTAATATTATAAAATATTATTAAAATTAAAAATATCAAATTTTCTCTTTGAATATACTGTAAAATGTAATTTATGATTTGGGCTCAAGAAACATTTCTGATTATTATCCATGTTGAAAACAGTTCTGCTGCTTAATATTTTTGTAGACACTGTGAAAAAAAATTTCTGAATGCTTTGATGACTAGAAATTTCAAAAGAATGGCTTTTATTTCAAATAGAAATGAAAAAAATTACAAATAGTTTTTTTTACAGAACTCTTTAAAATTGTGAGATATTTGGTCATGTGATCTCAACATGGCAGCCTCAGTGAGGGAGCGACCCACTGTATGTAGAATAAAACAGCTTTTTCTGGGCTACATATGACTGGAATCTTTTTCTAATGCAAGTGTACAACATTTTAAACATTTTTGTCAAATGGTCTAATTTCATTAGAATGACTGGGTGCACCTTAAGGGATAGAACACAACTGACATTTTTATTCTTCTCCTCCCATCCTCTCCCTAATCTACTGTACCAGTGGAGACAGAGACCATTATCTCATCGAGGTCAAGGCTAAACCCAAAATACATTCCCAACCATCAGCAGTGCAGTTAGCACACATTAAACACTAACTAACCCACAAAACACTGTATGTCTTGTGATCGATGCTTAATTAGGGAAAAGGCTTGAATGAATTCTTGCACACAACATGGGGAAATAATATCCATCTACCACATTCCTGCAATGTTTTAGAGACTTTTCAAGGGTCTCAAAACAATCGATGGTACAATATCACATGCTTCTGATCTGATGACTAACTGCATATCCATAACAACGTGGTAAACAGGCTCTAATGGCCGACACACAGCATGGTCGATCTGATCCATATGAAAGCAGGAAACAAGAAACAGACATCAAAACGCACTCTCTGATAATGATCCTCAGTCTGTGTGATTTATACATACACACAGTCTTATTTTTTAGCTTGATTTTGCACTACACCACTGCCAGGATTTTCATACAGAATAAAATTGTCCAGTCAGTGTATAAAACAGACATCCAACAGCCTGAAAAACATCTGATTATGAAACCAACCATCAATAAACTTTGCTTGTAATTTGTTTTTCTAATTATCCCCAAAAGCATCTGCTTGTGTAACTACTGACAAGTGCAGAGTCAAACCACTTTACTTTAAATAGAGTAAAAGAGGCAAAAAACACTAGACTAAAGTCATTACACTGACATCAAACTATGAAAACAGGAATCACCATAAGACATCACTGGCTAAATATCATTTTCTCTTCAAATGAACCTAATGATCCTCAGTCTGTGTGATTTATACATACACACAGTCTTATTTTTTAGCTTGATTTTGCACTACACCACTGCCAGGATTTTCATACAGAATAAAATTGTCCAGTCAGTGTATAAAACAGACATCCAACAGCCTGAAAAACATCTGATTATGAAACCAACCATCAATAAACTTTGCTTGTAATTTGTTTTTCTAATTATCCCCAAAAGCATCTGCTTGTGTAACTACTGACAAGTGCAGAGTCAAACCACTTTAGTTTAAATAGAGTAAAATAGGCAAAAAAACACTAGACTAAAGTCATTACACTGACATCAAACTATCAAAACAGGAATCACCATAAGACATCACTGGCTAAATATCATTTTCTCTTCAAATGAACCTACAAGTCTAGATTAATATACCAGGAGACATTTTTTTTTCTGATGCATTAATTGCATTCAAAGACATAAACACTCAAAATACAGACAAAATAAGAGTAATAAAGCATGTGCCAGCATAGTACTATGGCATAGTCGTGTGTAAATACCATAATACAGGTAATAATTCAGAAACATGGACCATAATAATTACCATCTGATACCATCACTGTATTATGATACCACAACTCAACGATCTACTTACTGGTACAATGATTTGGGGAAATGCAGCTCACCACAGTACTGAGGTAAAGACCACACAAACTAATTAACCTATAATAAAACCTGCTCTGAAATACATATGTGAATGAAAATACTGTTCACTCTTAAAAATAAAGGTTCCAAAAGGGTGTTTTTGCGATGATGCCATAGAAGAACCATTTTTGGTTCCCCAAAGAACCTTTCAGTGAACAGTTCCTAAAAGAACCATTTTGAAGAACATTTTAAAAATCTAAAGAAACATTTTCGACTATAAAGAACCTTTTCTGCATTTGAAAGGTTTCATGGATGTTCAAGGTTCTTCATACAACCATTGATGCCAATAAAGAACCTTTATTTTTTTTTATTAAGAGTGCATATAACCATGGAAGTTCTGCATATATGCAGTAATATTCTCTGGTGGTTTATTAGCTCTAGCCTTTCTTTCTAAGTAGCACTAAAAGCACCTGCTTGCTTGAGTAACTTTTTTCCACTTTGGTTTAACTAGACTAGATTAACGCGCAGAAGACACACTTCAAGTCATAATACTGACACTGAAACTAGATTCAACAACGCATCTCTAGGTAATAATGAACCAGCGAAGCAATAGGAAGCACGACACTACTGACAGTTCACATTTGTACAGTGAACCGATTCAGTTCACTTCACATTACAGCGTCCATGCAACATCGCGTGATTCTAATGAACAACATACACAAATAATGTAACATGGACTCTGTAATATGGATACATATTACATAAGTCAAATGTAAATCTGAAGCATATTTACCAGCCACAGCACTGAGCAGAAGCAATGTGCACAGCCCCAGTGACAGCACTGATGTTCGGTTTAGGATCCGCACTCTCATCCTGATGATGGTCCTGGTGCTTCTGGATGGGTTCAGCTCCAAAAAAAAGTTCCAGTAGATTTTATTTTTTTCCCCCCTCTTCTCTATCGACCGAAGTTCAAACTCATGTGCTCGGTGGGAATAGTCCGAAATTAGACGTGCAGATGAACGTTTGGAGGCAATGCATGATTTTAGACGCCTTTGGGTTAGTGTGTGCTTTGATAAATAGATTACAAACGCATTTTCTCCATGCTGGCTTGGCGTTTGAGCGATTATACTTCATGCAGTGTGTGTGATCCACTTCCTCGCAGGTATTCAGCTCTTTTAAGAGAGATCTCAAAGCCTGCAGCGATCGCGTCTCGGTTGTTATCGGTGTTTATAAACAAGATTTAGTTTCGATGTATTTGGTTCTGGTCCAGATGCTCGAGCGGTATCTTAACATGAGTCAGGTTTCTTCGTGTCAGTCCGCTTCAGTCGTTGTTTAGCTTCACAAGCTGACGACATGTCCGACATGTTCTGGCTTTAACTAGTTTTATTCCTGAATTGACGCCAAAATAATGTCTCTAAAATGAAGCAAATCTACGGCAGAAGGCGTCGAGCCCATCGGTCGGTTCAAGCGGCCGAACAGGAGCGACATTGAGTCCGATCCAAAGCGACAGAGGCCTTTAATAACCAGCGCAGCGAGTCTCAGTCGATGATGGTCGGTGAACTGATCGCCGGTCAGGGTCTGCTCGGGTAAATTAGCGCATTTCTCCCGGTGTGGATGTTTATCGCCCCGCGGATCGCGTCGAGCTCCCGCGGCCGCTCTCGGTAACTTCAGCTCCGTCTAGAGCAGACAGATGAAGGGCAGCCAGTCCTCCTCCTCCACCCCCTCTCTCTCTCTCTCTGCCAAACCAATTCAATTATAAGTTGTCTCGCTTCCTTTCTCCCCTCTCACCCATACATATTTTCCTTGTTACAACAGTTTCCGCCAAAAACACCTCACTTGCTACACTTATGATTACTACAACTGAGGTGTAAAATTTGGTTTTACACTAACAAAAATTGTTCATACCAGGTAAGCAACCATGGTAATAGGTATATATGTACCATGTATACATAGCCTATATAAATATAATATATAATCACTCTATCGTAGTGCTATCACGGTCCTTTTATTTTCTTTTTACTTTGTTAAAATAAAATGTAAACTGAAATCATATTTATTTTTTCCCTCTCAATGACTAGGCCTACCGTTTTTTCTTCTTTTGAAGAACATATACAGAACGAGAATCTCGGATCTTCAGGAATTTATCAAATGAATCGTGGTTACTTCATATAAACACTCCCAGTTTGTTAACGAAAAAAGCTTGAAAACAAGCAACGTTATCATAATTTCTGTGAAATACCAGAGGAAATATCCGATTGAAAATGGAGTGTCTTGAGAATTGTCTTCTAGTCTTGAGTACTCCTGTTTTACATTGTTTGAAAGAAATCCCATAATTATCTATGACTATTTTCCAGTAGTAACCCGTAATTATCTATATTAACTACGCTATCTTGGCAGAAACTGCTAATAATTATCTTTTTTAAGCGTTATAAATTACGCAATGATTACAATGCAATAGTTATTATGCAGAGTTATGTATGTGTGTAGGTAACAGAAAAGTAGGGATTCAGTTAATGTTTTACTTTCCTAATATTTTTACGTAAATACTTATCTGACTACAAATTCGAATAAGACATATAAAATTACATAGTAGGCTATTTTCTTATTTACTTTGAAAATGAAATATGACCAAGTCATGTCGGTCATCGGTTTCACCCACATATGCGACAACCTGTCCATCTCAGTCAGATGACGTGCCAGTACATTTTAGAAGCAAAGGTTACTAGTCATTTCTTTATTTGGTATTTTGAAGATGAATGGAGTACTTTGATTGCGGTTGAAGTTGAGCAAGATTAGACTACGACAAGGATGTGGAAGGTTTAGCTATGTGGGTGACTTGAAGCCACACAATGTTTCCATACAAACAGCGCCCCCTGGTGACTAACACTCTGTAACAGTTCATCTGGGGTGAAGCAACAAGGCATCACAAGAGCTTGAGAGCCTTTAAATTACATAACCCTGTCATTAAATTCAAGTGCTCTGTAATTGATTTTAAGACGCTGACTGACTTTCAAAAGAAGCCGTCACACATGCCACACAGATCTGATGGTGTGCATGCTGTAACAAATATTGTAAAAGTACTTATATTTATGCATTTCGCTTTTACTCAAAGCAACTTTTGTTGCATTCAGTGTATAGTATAGGGTGACCCATACGTGCCATTTTTTCCGGACGCGTCCTGGCCAGGATTTCTATATTGCTTTGATTCAAAGTACCTCGACAGCGTTTCGAAAACACAAGGAACCGATGTCATACACCGATCGGTCTGCACCCGCAAACCAAGCCAAACCCTAGATATTTTAGGCAATATAGAAATCCTAGTCAGGATGCGTCCGGGAAAAATGGCACATATGGTCACCCTAGTATAGTATTAATAGTTTATGCATTCCCTGGGAATCAAACTCAATACCCTGGGCTTTCTCAATATCCAAAAATGTGATTTTGAATCAAGTTTATTTAAAAAATGAAGATAAAAAATAACCCACAGTATTACATGTCATTAAACAGATTGCTTATATT